CCATCTCAACTATAATTAAATTTGTTTTTTCCTCCTTGCTTTCTTGTGATGGGAAAGCCAGGTGCTGTCCTTGTCATAGACTGAGTTGCCAGTTGAAGTAAAGGAACAACTTAATTCAGTAGCGTGACAAGAATTTGAGCTGGATCCCAGTTACTTACACACACATACATACACACGTGTGCGCGCAAAATCTGTTTCAAGTTTTAGTGAATGGAAGAAATTTGCATGATAGAGCACCATTCTTAGTTTTAAAATAGCTTTTATTGTTGAAGTAGAAAATAAATGTTTTTGCAATACTACTACATCAACAAACTTTTAATGGTAGGAAGTGTTAAGTCTTGATTTTCTACTGCTGAATTCAATAGTAAGAGATAGTAAACAAGAAGATGTTAACTAAAGAAAATGGCGAGAGTGGACCATAATGGGAATAGAAAGTTGAAAGGACAAGCTTCAGGTTACAGTGAGTTTTGCTATAACACAACATGCATTCCTAAAAAATTACAGCACTATGCAAAATTGCACAATAAAAACCACATGAGGCTTATTGGGAAAATAGGGATAAAGCAAAACACAAACTTCCTGGTGACACACACACAAAAAGATAGAAAGCTAATGAAAACACTAGCACAGTCTTACATATGTTAACTAGTTTAAAAGTATGTAAATACTAGAGTAAATATGGCAGCTTATCTCGAAAGGATCTGGTGTTTGCTTGTGGAAGTGGGTGTGGGAAGGGCTGTAGTTTGTGAGTTACTATGAAGTGGTGGAAGGAAGTTATCTGAAATTGGAAAGCTGTAGCACCAGATGTGGGTAGGTATATGGTTCTTGACACCCTTGGTGAACTGTGGGGAGTAGTGGATGTGCCGGGGTGTGCATTTTGTGTGTCACATTCCCATGTGGCTCAGCTCAGGAGGGTGTAGTTTTCTGCATTTATCTGGAGCAGCGGTTCTCAACCTGTGGGTCACAACCCACAGGAACTGTATTAAAGGGTGCAGCATTAGGAAGGTTGAGAACCACTGATGTAGAGTCTCTCGTAGACAAAAGTCCCAAAAAAATCAAATAGAAGGTCACATTATGCCCACATTATTCCCTAGTATATCAGTCACTTTAGAATAAATTGCATTCTCAAAACAAACTTTATAGCCAAAGTGATAGTATTTAATTACGTTGAGAATTTTATCTAACCTTTTGTTCTTCAGAGAAAGTATATCATAGTTGTTCTGAGACACCTGTTTGAGAGTTCTGGTACCCAGAGAATAAAAGGAGTATACTTTTTTTTTCTTTTGAGACACAGTCTCATTCTGTTGTCTCAGGCTAGAGTGTCCTGACATCATAGCTCACAGCAACCTCAAACTCCTCAGCTTGAGCAATCCTCTTACCTCAGCCTCCCAAGTAGCTGGGACTATAGGTGCCCACCACGCCTGGCTGGTTTTTTTACTTTCAGTAGAGATGGGTTCTCACTCTTACTCAGACTGATCTCAAACTCCTGAGCTTAAGCAGTTTGCCTAACTCAGTTTCCCAAAGTGCTAAGGTTATAGGCAAGAACCACCAGCCTGGTTAGAAGTATACTTCTTAGAAGTCAGAGCTCTAGTTTCACATTTTAATTCTGGTACCTAGAGAATGAAAAGAGTACAGTTCTTAGAAGTCAGAGTTCTAGTTTCACATTTTCTCTATTCATACCACAGACATGTTGTTATTCTTTTCATGCACTGCCCCAAAGGGTATACAAGGTGATTTTTGCGGGGGGATATGGATGAATGTTTTAATTTTAATATTTTATTTTAATGTATATCAGCAAAACATAACAAGCTTCTCAAACATATTGTTTTGTAGGTATTATTTTTTAGATACTAAAATATCTCTCAATTAAGAGTAATGGTACTCTGCTAGAACCCATCTGGGAATGGACTAGAGAATAGTTTCTTTCTTTCTTTTTCTCTCTCTCTTTCTCTCTTTCTCTCTCTCTTTCTTTCTTTCTTTCTTGACAGAGCCTCAGGCTGTCGCCCTGGGTAGAGTGCTATGGCATCACAGCTCACAGCAACCTCCAATTCCTGGGCTCAAGCGATTCTCTTGCCTCAGCCTCCCAAGTAGCTGGGACTACAGGCACCCACCGCAATGCCCAGCTGTTTTTGGTTGTAGTTGTCATTGTTGTTTGGCGGCCCAGGCTGGATTCGAACCCACCAGCTCTGGTGTATGTGGCTGGTCCCTTAGCCCCTTGAGCTACAGGTACCGAGCCTGGAGAATAGTTTCAACTGTTATCTCTGGCAGAGAAGCACTGGGTGATTAAGTTGTAGGAGATTGGTAGTACTAACCATCTTGAAATCTGGTGTGAAGAATTGTCTTGTTCACAATACCCATAATGCCCCCATTATGGGGGAAATTGGTTAATAATATACTGGGAGGAAAACAGAATGATAGGGTTGATAATTTAAGTAAAAATGTTGAGTAAAAAAATAGAATTTTATGTGACTTTGGTAAGAACCATAAAAATGGTTTCCAGTTGATGGAAGTTTGTAAAGTACTAGTTTAGGATAAATAGTAGCAGTGAGCTTTATTTGCCAAACCCTTATGTATAGTGTCATGTACCAGGCAGTGTTCTCAGCAAATGTTAACTTACTCACCTGTGGTTAATGGTTCTTGAGGCATCAGCACAGTCTAGGGTAGTCGCTCAGCCTTGGCTGCATGGTAGAATCACACAGGAAATTAGACAAAGTCTAGATGCTCAGGTCACATGCCAAACCAATTAAATCACAGTGTCTGAAGGAGAGGCCTGTACATCAGTGTTTTTTTAAAGCTCCTTAGGTTATTCCAATATGTAGACAAAAGTTGACAACCTCTGGTCTGGGGCCTTTTGAAAATTATTCCTTTTCACAAGAAAAGCTATACCAGTCATACAAATATTAATTGAAGACCTACTCTGTGCCATGGTTTACAAAGCAAGATTACCAAGACATGGCTCATAGGAGCGCTGAGGCAGGTGACAAAACTGTAAATAGATGTTTACCATTCTGGCTGAAAATGCTGACATTTGGAAGCATCTTCAGAGTGTTTTGGGATCACAGAGAAGAGAAAAACTAAGTTAAAAAAAAACCAAAACTCCTCAGATCCAAATTTGGAAAATTATAACTGAAGTTACTTTAGAGAGGCTGGGCACAGTGGCTCATGCCTGTAATCCTAGCATTCTGGGATGCCGAGATTGCCTGAGCTCATGGGTTCAAGACCAGCCTTAGCAAGAGGGAGCTCTAGGCTCGGTGCCCATAGCACAGTGGCTACAGCACCAGCCACATATATCCAGGCTGGTGGATTCAGGCCTGGCCCAGGCCAGCTAAACAACAATGACAACTGCAACAACATCAAAAAATTCTGGACATTGTGGCAGGCCCTATAGTCCCAGCTGCTTGGGAGGCTAAGGCAAGAGAATCGCTTGAGCCCAAGAATTTGAGGTTGCTGTGAGCTGTGACACCATAGCACTCTACTGAGGGCACTATAGTGAGACTCTATCTCCAAAAGAGGGAGATCTCTAAAAATACTCAGGTGTTGTGGCAGGTGCCTCTAGTCCCAGCTACTGGGGAGGCTGAAGCAAAAGAATCGCTTGAGCCCAGGAGTTTGAGGTTGCTGTGAGCTATGATGCCATGGCACTCTACCAAGAGCAACAAAGTGAGACTTTGTCTCAAAAATAAATAAAATAAAGTTACTTTAGTTTTCCTTGCCTTACATACAGCTTTTATATGGGGGAAAGCAAGTAGCACTTAACAAATCACTATCCCTTTAACCTTCCTAACTTGATTATAGCCTTTGTGTGGTTGAGTTGGGGGGATTTGAATTTTGTCTGTCAATAGCAGAATAATGTTTTCCTGATGTGGAACAGGCTTTTTAAAAAGTACCTCATAAAGCATCATTGAAGTAATGTCCTTCCAGGAATAAGTCACCACAGCTTCACTGAGAGGCTCAGGACTGCTATAGGAAGACCTTTGGAAATACACCATTTAAGTAATGCATTTAGTCATCAATTCTTACATCCTTAATGTTTTAAATACATATACAGCTCCCATATTGTAATGTCAGTGTTGGATCACATGAAGAGTTAAGTAAATGTGTTCATTTTAAATTACAAGTTTAACTGAAGGCAGCTACTAAGGTAGTCAAGTAGATAAAGTTACCAAATAATTTACTCGTTTCCAGTGGTAACATTCTTCAGCAGCTTTTGATTTATATTAATATGGATTGCCTGACTGAGAAAACCTGATTCTCCTGCTGGATAGATTTATTTTCAGCTAAACCTTTGTAGTCTGTACTTAACCATGAATTACTTCCTGGTTTAAAAAACATGCATAGCTATTTGTGGTACTTTTGTGTTGCACCTTTGGCATCTTAGTAGTGTGAACCGGATCTGTGCCATCTCTAGTCAAGTGAGATTATTTTTTTAAAAAGTTGGGAGGAGGGGCGAAATGATTCTCTGGAAAATTTCAGCACAGATAGCAAGATAACCCTAGAAACAATTTTATTTGGTGCCGCATGCTGGTGGGTAGTGACAGGAAAAATAAGAAGGTACAACTTGTTTCTTAAGATTTTGCTATTTCGAAAATCAGAAAGGTGCTATGAGGAAAAGAATTGTACACAACGTGAATTAGCAGAGCTCTGCAAATGAATGAAGAATTTTCTTCTCTCTGAATGCAATTTGCAGCCAATGAGGTTCATTTCTAACGTTCAAACTCCATAAGGCAATATTTTCATCTTTAGAATGGTTATTTAATTTCCTAATGGGTGTATTTAATAAAACTTTTTGTGCTGAAATAGATACTTTGGAAATCGAAGGGCCATTTCCTGGAATCCTAAGTCTGTGAGACCTAGATAAGACATGTCTGAAAGCTTCTGAGCTTAACGTATTTTCACTTAATGATACATTTTTTACCATAAAATGTGTGTTGATTTCAGGGAAAGTCTATTTGAGATTTGCCTGAAACATGGTGTCTTTTTGTCTATTTTCTTTTTGTTTACAGAAAGAAGACATAGCTCATCCAGCAAACCTTCTTTGGCCGTTCCTCCCGCTTCAGTATTTTCCTTCTTCCCTTCTCTGTCCAAGAGTAAAGGAGGCAGTGCAAGTGGAAGCAGCAGCCGTTCTTCCAGTGGAGGTGTTGGTAGCGCATCCTCATCGAGTTCCAAGTTGTTGAAATCGCCCAAAGACAAACTGCCACTCAGGGGGAACACCAGGCCAATGCATCCCGTTCAGCAGAGTAGAGTCCCCCATAGTAGAATGTGAGTATGGTCGAGAAGGTTTGTGAAGCTTACCTGCTAGAAACGGAACAGTGTACATGAGTGGCATCTGAATAATGTAAGAGGGAGCCCACGTTGGGGAGAATTCATATGTATTTGTTCCTTATATCTTAGGAAACTTTTCAGAGTAGTAGTAGCAATAATAATAAGGTTAATGATACTTAGTGATCCTTTATTGTGTGCCAGTTACTAAAACTAGGCTGTATATGTGAACTCATTTAATTATCACAAAAACCTGTGGAATAGTATCATCCATTTTCCAAATGAGAAGGAGCCTTGATGAGGTTGAGAATTTTTTGTCCAAGAAAACCTCAAGACCACTCAATGAGGCCTGGATTCAAATCCCACTTCTGTTACTTCATAGCTGCAAGGCTTTGGGCAAGGCATTTTTTCTCTCAGCTTGTAAAAGTAGCCACAGTGCAGGGTTTGTGAGAGTTTAAGTTAATGTTTGTCAAGCACCTGCCATAGGTCTGGCCCTTTGGAGACAGTTGATGATGGATATTGGCACTCTTGCTACTGTTACTGTTGATGACAGTAGTGATAAAAAGGTGAAGAGATCCCCAGAAGCTGCTCTAGAATTTTCTGGGAGGATGCTTCCTCCCCTCCCCCCTTGGGTTCATGTCACAACAGTGATGAGGGAAGACTGAGGAAGTTTACACCTGCCAGACAAGCCTTTGGCAGGTTGCCACAGTGCCTGGGTGGGTTGGCAGGTTCCTTGAGGTCACGTGAGGCAGCAGCTGCGCACGCCCATACACAAATATCTTTTCTTACCATGGCATCCCTCAGCCTGGTGGTGGGTGACTTTTGGGGGGCCTGCCTCCCTTTGGAGGGTATGCCACATACTCAGTTCCAGGGTCTGGTAACCTGGTTAATCTTAGGAAGGGGTCCAGCACCTGATACTCAAGGACCTTGCCAGCTGAGAGAGGCCATGAGGTCTTGCAGTGTCTGTGCTGCTGTCAGGCTATTCCAGGTACACCTGTTTGGGGTTGTTTGTCCTGGTTGCTAAGCCCCCAGCCCCTGCTCATCTGTTAAAAGTGCAGTACCTCAAGCATGGCTTTCATTCTAGTAGCTGTCTGAAAGCCAAAGAAAATGTTGTACAGCATAAGTTACTTGCCAGCTTAACAGTTGTTAGAGCTCTGACAGCATTGAGCAAAGTTGATATGCAAGTACAGACTTGGACTGACAAGACTGTCTTCATTATTTGGAGCTAGGGCTTTAGAGGGAGACCAAACCAACCAAAATGACAGTGTCGGTGAGAGTTTAAGAGAAATCAGTTCTTTGTTAGTGGCACAAGTGTTCATCCCTTACCAACTGTATACCTGCCAGGTGCTTATATTCTAAGTGCCTAGCATAGAGACTTTTTTCAGGGACTAGAGAATTGCCACTTTACTGGCACTACACATTGGTCTCCCTCACTGACAGAAGCAGAGAGCCTATTCTTGGAGGTAACATTAGGCATGTTTGATTTCTCCTAAATTTTTAGTGATATTTCTTAGAAGTATTTGCTTACTCAGAAGGTTACTTTGTTTTGATGAATTCTTTCTTAAAAACGACATTTCTCAGAAGATATTCTCTAAGGGTTCTGCAGGTGGTCTTTTGTCCTTTTAGACCAGGCGTCCTTAAACTACGGCCCGCGGGCCACATGCAGCTCGCCTAGGACATTTCTCTGGCCTGCTGGGTGTTTTTGCCACCGCTGCCTGTCCTACTTAGCAGCCGACTCATCCTGGGCCCTGCAGTCTGGCCCTCCAACTGTCTGAGGGACAGTGAACTGGCCCCCTGTTTAAAAGTTTGAGGACCCCTGTTTTAGACCTTTTCATGTTTTGCTTCTTATAGATATTGCTTTGGGTATCAGATTCGAGTATCCCATGGGCCCATGTATGAAATATTCTGAAAAGATGAGGTATATTTAATGGTCCCCTGGGAATTTTGCCTCACCTCACCAGACGGGCTTATAGACGTAATAAATGTGAACCTTACCGGTTTTTCTGGATAGTCCTAACAAAATTTGTAAGTTGCCTTCTAAGAGGTTGGCCCTGTGTAGTGCTCACCATTCACCTCGAGCCACTGGGGCACTCAGACAGTAGTGTTCTCCCTTTTTCCTATGACAGCATGACACCCTCTGTGAAAGTGGAAAAGATTCATCCCAAGATGGATGGCACACTACTGAAATCTGCCGTGGGGCCAACCTGTCCTGCTACTGTGAGTTCCTCAGTCAAGCCTGGCCTTAACTGCCCCTCAATACCAAAGCCAACCTTGCCTTCACCTGGACAGATTCTGAATGGCAAAGGGCTTCCTGCACTGCCCACTATGGAAAAGAAATCTGAAGACAATTCTAATAGTAGGAAATTTTTAAATAAGAGATTGTCAGGTAACTTCACATTTTCTTTCTTAATAATATTTCTTTGTTTATGCATGTAGTGGGCATTCATGGGAAGCAAATCAATTCCTGTGTATAAGTCCTCTTTGTAAAACTAGTCAACTTCAGCTTTAGGAGGAAGTTCCTTAGGTTATATGCTTATCTTCTTCACTCTTAGTTTTAAAGAACATTAGTGAGGCTGGGTGTGGTGCCTCATGCCTATAATCCTAGCACTCTGGGAGGCTGAGGCAAGAGGATCCTTTGAGCTAAAGAGTTTGAGGATAGTCTCTTAGTAGAGACCCCACCTCTACTAAAAATAGAAAATTAGGTGTGTGCCTATAGTTCCAGTTGCTTGGGAGACTGAGGTAGGAGGATCACTTGAGCCCAGGAGTTTGAGATTTCTGTAAACTGTGACACCGTGGCACTCTAGCCTGGGCAGCAGAGTGAGACTCTATCTCCAGGTAGGTAGGTAGATCAAGCAGCAGAGTTAGACTGTGTCTTACTTAGATAGATAGATAGCATTAGTGTACTTGCATGCATGTGTGTAGGTAATATAAAAGTAGCTTATTAGTGGTGTATTTTTGAGTGTAACAATGTGGTAATACAAACTTAAATTTTCTGTCCTGCCATCTGATGGCAACAGTCACCCCAGTGTTTTAGTAACGTTGGTGCTTCCTTGTAGTGCTCTTGTGTTATTTATTTTGTTATTTATTAGTAGTGTGGTGGATTTTATTCAGGCTATAATTTGTCTTGAGATTTTTCCCTATTTTCTTATTTATAAAATACATAAAAAAGTGTTTGGCAAGCCCATTGTAATGTCTATGTGACATTACTCTCTTTGACAGAACGAGAGTTTGATCCTGACATCCACTGTGGGGTCGTTGATCTTGACACCAAGAAGCCCTGCACCCGGTCTTTGACATGCAAGGTAGGCAGCCTTCTGAAGGTAGAGCTAACTACCCTGAGAAACCCAGGGAACAGGGATGTACCTCACTGCTCCCAAAGTCTCTCTCACCCACAGGTGATCAGATTCCCTGTGGATTGTTCTGAATTGTGTAATTGTGGAAATAATTCATTCTGTTGAAAAAAGCCTCAAATTGACAAAATGTGAAGTGTGTTATTATAGTTTTCATCTTGAGAGAAATATTATATCTAATGAGCAGTGTTATATTCAAAGGAATAGTGTTCTTTCCTAATCCTAACCAATCTGTTACTTTCAAAGACTTTTAATAATTCCACATAGCCATTTAATGCAAGAGGTTACTCTGGTTTAGGTTGTACTGACTTAAAACAAGTCTGGAAGTTTTTTTTATGTATAGATATGAATTTTTATTTTTTTTTTAAGACAGAGTCTCACTACGTCACCCTTGGTAGAATGCCATGGCATCACAGCTCACAGCAACCTCAAACTCTTGGGCTTAAGTGATTCTCTTGCCTCAGCCTCCCAGGTAGCTGGGACTATAGGCTCCTGCCACAACACCCGGCTATTTTTTGTTGCAGTTGTCATTGTTTAGGTGGCCCAGGCAGGGTTTGAACCTGGCTCCCTCGTGTATGTGACTGGCACCGTTACCACTGTGCTACAGGCGCCAAGCCTATACGAATATTTTTAAAAATGTATAAGCCATGGTTCTTATATTTTATTTTATTTATTTATTTATTTATTTTTTGAGACAGAGCCTCAAGCTATTGCTCTGGGTAGAATGCCGTGGCATCATGGCTCACAGCAACCTCCAACACCTGGGCTCAAGTGAGTCTCCTGCCTCCACCTCCCAAGTAGCTGGGACTACAAGTGCCCGCCACAATGCCCAGCTATTTTTTGGTTGCAGCCATCATTGTTGTTTGGCAGGCCCGGGCTGGATTCGAACTCGCCACCTTAGGTGTATGTGGCTGGCGCCTTAGCCACTTGAGCCACAGGCGCTGAGCCGGTTCTTATATTTTAAATTACCAGTTTTTAAAACTCCGTGACTTTGAAGTAGCTTTATTTTGTAGTTCAAAACAAAAAGATAAAATATAAACTAAGAAAACATAATAATCCGAGGTCTGTTCTAAAGTTTTCATATCCTTTAAAATCCCAGTATACAAATAATAAGGTGGTATATTGCTGTAAAATAAGAGTCAGCAAACTAGGGGTGACTTCAGGGCATTGGTGGACCCCTGTATAAATGAGTGTATGTATTTATGTGCGTTTCCCAGCTGCTATTCTGAAGGGTTCAAGAAGTATTGAGAATCACTGCTTTGAAGTATGTGATTTTAAAACCTATGTTTGGGAAAGCGGATAAAAATTATAAAACTCAATGTTTTCTTCTAAAAATTAATAAAATTGGGTTGGGTGCAGTGGCTCACGCCTGTAATCCTAGTACTCTGGGGGGTAGAGGCGGGTGGATTGCCTGAGTTCACAGGTTTGAGACCAGACTGAGCAAGAGACTCCATCTCTAAAAATAGTCGGGCATTGTGGCGGGCGCCTATAGTCCCAGCTACTTGGGAGGCTGAGGCAAAAGAATCGCTTGAGCCCAAAAGTTTGAGGTTGCTATGAGCTATGCCGCCACAGCACTCCACCAAGGGTGACAAAGTAAAACTGTTTCAAAAAATAAAATAAAAATTAATAGAATTGTTGATACGTTATTTTACTAAAGATTTATTTGAACAAAAGATTTTAGTCCCCACTCTGTTCTCCAAGTAGTGGAAGAAATGTTTATAATTTTTCAAAGTAGAAAAAATTTTTTGCATGGTTCTTATTTTAATATCAAAATTTCTTTAATTTTAGTGTATAGATTTTTGCCTTCGTGGTTTTGAACCTTTTAAGGAAAGGGATTGCTCAAAAGTGTCTTTAAATATCTCATTTTTAAAAAAATCATGGACCTTTTTCCTAAAAAAGAGATAGTATATACATATATGATATATGTTCTGCATTCAGTATGATTCTAGCTATGAGTTTGTCATGTATGTCTTTTATCATGTTGAGGGTAAATTCCTTTTATACCCAATTTTGTGTGTGTGTGTGAGACAGAGTCTCAAGCTGTTGCCCTGGGTAGAGTGCTGTGGCATCATAGCTCACAGCAACCTCCAACTCCTGAGCTTAAGCAATTCTCTTGCTTCAGCTTTCCAAGTGGCTGGGACTATGGGCGCCCACCACAGCACCTGGCTATTTTTTGGTTGCAGTTGTCATTGTTGCTTAGCAGACCCTGGCCAGGTTTGAATCCACCACCCTAGGTGTATGTGGCCGGCACCCTTGCCAACTGAGCTACGGGCGCCACCCTATACCCAATTTTTTAAAAGTATTTCTTTTAGCACAAAGGGATGTTGAATTTTATTGAATGCTTTTCAGCATCAGTTGAAATGCTTATGAGGTTTTTGTCCTTTGTTCTATGGTATGATATGTAGCACATTGATTTGCATATGTTGAAGGATCCTTGCATCCCTGGGATGAATCCCACTTGATCATGATGAATATTTTTAATGCGTTGTTGAATTCATTTTGCTAAAGGATTCATTTTGTTGAGGATTTTCATCTGTATTCATCAGAGACCTTGGCCTGTAGTTTTCTTTTTTTGTTGTGTCTTTGTTTTTAATATCAGAGGGACACAGGCATCAGAGAATGAATTTGGGGGTATCCCTTCCTCATTAAGTTTTTGGAATTGTTTAAGTAGCATTGATGGTAGTTCGTTTCTAAATGCTTGTTAGAATTCTGCAGGGAAGCCATCCAGTCCTGGGCTTTTCTTTATTGGGAAACTTTATTACTGTTTCCATCTCATTTCTTGTTATTAGTTTATTCAATTTGAGTTTTTTTCTAGTTCAATCTTGGTGGGTTGTTCCTATCTAGAAATTTATCCATTTCTTTTAAGTTTTCCAATTTATTGGCATATAATTGCTCATAGTAGTAATTTCTAAAGATCCTTTGAATTTCTGCAGTATCAGTTGTAATGTCTCCTTTTAATCTCATGTAGTTCATTTGGGTCTCCTCTCTTTTTTAGCCTGACTAAAGACATTTTTATGTTGTTTATCATTTTTTAAAAAAACTCAGCTTTTTGTTGCATTGATCTTTTAAGGTTTTTTGCTGGTTTCAATTCTATTGCCTCTGTGATCTTTATTATTTCTTCTACTCGTTTCAGGTTTGGTTAGCTCTTGTTTTACTACTCTAGTGAGATGTGTTAGGTTGTTTATTTGAACCTTTTCTCCTTTTTGGATTGCAATAGTCTTATTGCTATAGACTTTCTTATTACAACTTTTGTAATAATATCCATATATTCTGAATTTTGCATCCTGTCTTGGGTTAATGGACACCCTCACCCTTAAGCCCATCCTCTCTTCTTTGAATCTTTAGCTTAAAGCCTTCTGTGTCCTATTCACTTTTTCTTTCCTTTTCCCTTCCTCCTACCAAGTTGTAATTTGATCTCATATTTGTATTTTATAAGATACTGATTGAATGTGTAGAGTGGTATATTGTTGTTGAAGATGCCACTTGGGCTCTGTAGAACTTCATCATGGTTCCAGTTGCCCCTAGGGGAATGTTTCACAGCCTGCCTGCATGATTCCACTTATATTAAGTACATAAAATAATCAAATTAATAGAATAGAAGTGGAATGGCGGTTGCTAGGGACTGAAGGAGGAAAGAAATGGGGAGTTACTAATCAACAAGCTGGGAGTTTCACATAAAAAGGATGCCCTGTTGCTCATCAGGATCGCAACTTGAAGTCCTCTCTGCCCTCTTCCTGCCTGCTGGCTCTTAGAAATGTGGTACCTATCAGCAGTGAGTGATGCTAAGAAGATCATTTAACTAAGATGATCTTTTAAAATCATCTGTGAAGCATGGTGATGATCCACACATTTTTTTCTTCATTTCTTCTTTTAAGATTTTATTTTATTATGATGAGAAAACTTAGTGTGAGAACTACCCTCTTAATAAAATTTGAAGTGTGCAATACAGTCCTATTGACTATAGGTAAAGTATTGTACAGTGGATCTCTAGAACTTGTTTATGTTGCTTACCTCAAACTCATTCTCTCCTTCAGCCCCTACCAACCTCTACTCTACTCTTATTCTATGAATTTGTTTTTTTTATATATACCTCGTATAAGTGGAATCATGGAATATTTGTCTTTCTGTGACTGGCTTCTTTATTTTACCATCCTTGTCACATTGCAGAATTTTCTTCCTTTTAATGTTGAATAATATTTCCATGAATGTATATGCCACATTTCATTTATCTCTTCACCTCTTGGTGGACATTAGATTGGTCCCACATCTTGACTATTATAAATAATACTTCAGCAAACATAGGAGTGCTGATACCTCTGTGAGATTCTGATTTCAGTTCTTTTGGATAAATGCCCAGAAATAAGATTTTGCCAAAAGTGGTTTTAACTCAGAATCTGCAAGGAGCATGACCAGCCTTCTTCTTGTGCCTTTATTGCTAGGCGGACTTTGTATTAATCTGCACTTTTCTCCCCTCTCCTTTGCAAATGGTATGTCCCCTCCCTGGGCTCCTTTAAGAGGATCATTGCTGTCTGTGGCATGGTGTCAAGCCTGTCACTGCATTAACGTGTCCTCAGACCTGCTTTGTCATGAGGTCAGCATAGAGTTGATAGAAAATGCAGCATCCAACTGGAGGACCTGTCCCAGAATGCCTTGATTTTCTTCTCTCCTTCTGTTTGTCAGTTCTCCTTTTCCTTGCCTTTACTTTGGCCTGAATCTGTTAAGCTGGTATAGGGTAACTGACTTCTTTATCTTAGTGTTGCTCTTACCCTGAGTTTCCCAAGTTGCTACTGGGTCTCTTCTCTCTTAGACTCAGAGCATTGTGTGTTCTCCTCATCCTTGGGGAATTGTTGGTGTTCAGTCCCATTTTTCTTTTTTTTTTTTTTTTTTTTTTGAGACAGAGCCTCAAGCTATCCCCCTGGGTAGAG